CCAATGCAGCAAATTCTGCTTTTTCTTTTGCCTGCTGGTTTTAGGGTCGTGACAGTTGGTCATCAGTCTCCATATCACCGTATCTATTATTATTATTATTATTATTATTATTATTATTATTATTATTATTACTATTAATGTTTTTGCTGTTTTGTAATATAAATGCTCTGCAAACCCTGGGAATAAATAAGCAGATCATGTTTAGAGAATAAAAATAAAAATTAAATTAATAAAAATAAAATAAAATAAAATACGTACTACAGAAGCATGCAGCCTGTTTGACCTGATATTTAGAAGACTTACTTACATGATATTTTTCCACAAATACTTTCCAGGTGATTGAATGAAACATACTCCATTTTTTTTGTTTGTTTCCTATGTTTATGAATGACCTTTAAAACTATCAAATCAAGGGGACATTTCCAGCTAAATCTGATACTGGCAGTACAGGAAACCCATTTTCTGTGTATGTGCATGTGAGTGTCTCTGCACAAATGGATACCTAAGAGCCTGGCGAGATTCTGTTATGATTATGATCTCGCTTATATTGTGTTATGCAGGAGCATGGTTACAGGGACATTTGTTGGGAAAAAAAGCGGTGACATACACATGCTACAAGTTAAAACACAACTTTCATATTTACTGTAAGTAAAATAATAGAAACTGAGCTACTGGAAAGCATACAAGTTATACATTTATTATGAACATCGATAAACAACAATTACTGAAGTGAATCAGGACCAAAAGAGAATGTTAAACCTGAATAGAATTTAGGTTCTGAAGGATAGGTTGGGCACATCTCTATTCCTACCAAATTTCACGTTCATTGGTTGCAGCATTTCTGTGCTACAGTTAACCAAAAATGATAAAAAATAACTAAATAAAAACAAATACACAGTACAAAAACAATATGAGTCCCACTTCCTGTTATAATAAAAATATAAGTAAGTAAAAACTGTTGAAATAGCCATCAGTACTGGTAATAATGACTCAAAACACCTAYGTTAAAGACATTTGGAAAGCTAAAAGGAATGCATGTTTGCTAGTCTGACCAGATGTTATTCATTTGCATATCTGACTGTCAACAGACCACAGGGTGTGAAGAATTACTAATGTCCTAATGCTGAGAGGCAAAGCGTCTGACAGCACTCCCAATGAGCCAACTAGACCCTGCAACGATGGATTACAAAAAGAAACAGCACCTTTTGTTCACAGATGCTGACGTGAGAAGCATTGGTTACATTTGTCTGGCAAAAGTGAGGCTGTTAYATGAATGATTGATTCAATGTTTAATATAAATATTCGTTAGCTACAAAATTTATTTTGATGTTAAAAATATGCTGTGTGCATTCTTAAACATTGTCTCAAGTCCCGATCTCATCTCCTAACTTTTTTTTTCTGCAGCACTATTGCAAACATTCACTTACAAGTATGTCACGTACAGAGGAGCAGATTTTTACTTGGATAATTTGACAGAATCCACGGAAATGATTGGGAGGTAGTATRGGCTCATTAACTGATTGGTCTTGCTCAGGGAGTGTGGTGCGGGGCAGAGGTRTGTGATGGGAAAAGAGTGGAGGTGTGGCAGCAGGAGCAGCATTTGGGAAGGGTTTAAAAACTGAAAGGGGAACAAGAGGAGTAATCCACTGAGTGCCCGTAATGTAATGAGTCAGCCTTGCTTAATGGAGTCCATTTGAGGAGAAATGAGGTAGAGAAAGTAAACAGAGGTATTGGAGGTGCAAAGGTGTTGTGGAACTAAAAAGCTGGACTGGGAATATGTTTTGTGGGAATTAAATTTTCACTTACTACATTATCACTAGACAAACAGATATGTTTTTATCCAGTACCTGACTATGGTTATGTTTTTTTTTCTAAAGATTTTGTTTAATTTAAAGTGGACACATGTAAAATCCACTTTTTTAGCTGTAAAATGCATTTTGTTGTGGACTTGGAGTCTGTTGAAGTAAGGCGAAGTTTAATTTAATCTCTTCTGGTGCTAAAATACATCTTTATATTCTGTTTGGGTCTTATTTTCAGCCTGTTTAGTTGAGTACTAAAAGGTCTTTCTCCTCTGGCTCTGGGTCAGACTCTGGCTCCAACATGTACAGTAAGTCTGGATGGACGTCTTCTTTTGCTGATATATTTTAATTAAATTGTAAATGAAACATTTTTGAAAGCAAGAAAGCATACACCCCCCCTCCAAACTGGAGTTGATCGGTCTGGAAGCCGGAGGGGGTGGGGCTTGAAGCACATAGGAACAGTAACAAAACCAGTTACTTTGAGACACACCTCAGAAAAGGGGTGAATGAGAGGCTGGTGAACTTAGAATAAGGAGGAATTCAAATTAAATCATTGTAGTTCCACTTTATATAGACCCTAACTGAATTATTTAAATGTGAAAAGGAAGGATTTAAAAGCATGATATGAAATTAGTTAGTTAGTCTGGTTTTATTAGAGCCACTTGGTAAGAGATAATTCCTGATCTCTTCTTTTTTCAGTTAATACAGTATGTACCATCATTTCATTGAATTAAATGTAGATTTCACTTACTGATAAAAGCTGAAAAGCTCATCTTATGTTGTGATTAATATTTTCAAAAATAAGTTTATTATTACTTTGGGTGACTTTCAAGCTTTAATTTACATMTTTCTTCTGTTTGAAATATAAAGATCAGTTTTATCAAAAATCAAGAAGCTTTCATCAGAAACAAGTCAACAATTACAATGAACAACAAAATGAAACAATTATTTTCATGTGCCGGTTGTTTATTTAATACACCAGCATCTAAAATAGGTGCCGTCAACAATCTTGTCAAAAGTCAAAACTGAAAAATACAATCAGTTCTTTTGATGACAAACACATCTGTTCCATTTTTATATGGGAATGACAGCAAAAAATGTTTGTAATATAATTATCCTTATCTCAGTGTGATGTTACTCAGAAAGTTTGTTCTACTGGGAGTTCGGTACAATAAAAGCAAACATTTGATTGAAGTATTTTTTGTGAAGATCGTCACAGTAAATGGCATTTATTTTTTTATTTTACCACTATTTAAGCAGATAAATCCCGCTGAGATCCCAGATCTCTTTTTGAAGGGAGGCCTGGGCCTGRAGGCAACCTATTGTRCATGTTTTTGGGGTGTAGGGGAAAGCCTGGAGAAAACCCATGCTAACTTGAGGAGAACAGACAAACTCCACACAAATAGACCTCATCCTAACCGGGAATCAAACCTGGGACCCTCTTGCTGTGAGGCGTTGGTGCTAACCACTGAGCCGTTGTGCTGCCATTTCCGTCCAAAGCAGGATTGTGTGTTGTAGACACCAGACTTTGCCCTGTGGAATGTAGTTAAAAATAAGAAAGATACAACAAGCATGGTGCATTTGTGACACATGCTTTGTTTCACCACTGCCTCAAGAGTCAAGGGTTGTATTATTCATTGTTTTCAGTGTCATATCTATTGCTCCTGCAGTTGTGCGCTTCTTGTCGCCTGCGTGTACAGATCAGATGATTTGTCTCTCCGGCAGCCTGCAGTATTTATTCCAGGTCAGCTGCCATCTCACCCTGCTGTTTTTCACAGCCTGTTAGAGATCTTTTAATTGGCAAATAAGTGTGTGATTTAAAGTTAGGCAGACAGAGTGTCGCAGAAGACTCATCTGCTTGTTTGGGACTGCGTATGAATCCATGGAGGGAACACAAGTCCAAACACATGGCCAGATGTGACGAGTGCTCCTGGCTGTGAGACAAGCTGCGCTGCTCTGGAGACAGCGCAGAGTTCTGCGTTCCAGCTTGTGCACCAAGATCTGCGTTTAAAAGCGTGTGCGGCTTTTGTTGTGCGTAATGTGTGTGTTGCTCCCAAACGCAAAGGGAAAGCAACAATTAGCATTAAACGGCGTGGGCAGAAAGAGTATGCCAGTTTTCACAAAACCAAGTTTCTCACATTGTTAAAGCGCAGCTGTAATAAATTCTGATTTGTTAGCGCTTGTGCACCGATAGACTTTGGATGATTGGAGGCTCGTGTGGAAGCCATGTGAGGACAGTGACTTGCCAAACTAACTTTAGGTTGACAGAGGCTCAATGAACCATCGCAAATGGAATTAGCAGTGAGGCAAGTGTTTAAATATCATGTGAGAAAGTTTGTGAAATTAAAAATAAAACCATCTAAGGCAGGGGTGGGCAATCCTGGTCCTCAAGGGCCGCAGCCCTGCATGTTTTTTTTCTCTTCTCAAACACCTCATTTTAGTGAATGGGTGACTATCAGGCTTCTCCAATACAGAGGACTGAAACTGACATAATTAAAAATAAAAGCGGAAATATGTAAATTGACTAATAAATAAATAAAAACACTTGAAGTGCACCAATATAATTCAAAAAGGAGAATTTTATTTAAAGTGTGTATATA